AATACGCGATGTATTTATGTAACGCGAAGACCGTGACGAATACATTGCTGTAGGTTGTGATAATGTATGACATAACGTTTGTTATCGTATAAGGTTGCGAGGAGTTTGTCCTGTCGCTTACCGAGTGGTTTATCACGCGTTGGACAAAACGGTAGGTTAATGTGCGCGTCGTGAAGATGTTCCGGGTACTCTAAATCTACCTCGAGAATGTAACCGATAGGCGAATCCAGTAGCGTTTACGTTAAAATTGGACACGTCGACGATTCATCGAAAATTTGCGTAAAGCAATGGTTGACACATTGCCCAATCGTACAAGTTGTTAACGTCAAAGTACATAAGATACGACGATGGTTTCGACGGATCGTATGACTGCGTGTACTTGTTGTTGGCTCGCGCGTATCGGTTGGAACATTGACTTAGACCACCGCGTATACCGCGTTCGATGAACATGATCATGTCGATGTCGGTGAGCAGTTCGAAATTGACGCGAGTATGCTTCAACATTGCGTCTCACGTAAAACCCGGTAGGGTATAATAGTACGCAAGATCGAGTCCATAACTCGCGATGCAACTATCACGAAAATTTTCAAAGATATCAGCCAACAACAAGATGTCAGTCTTGAGATATAAATCACTGTATTCGCCGAGCGTTCGGATGGAGAATCGCTGCCATACGTTGCCGGCGTGCGCGTAATCGCTCTCGGACACGGTGTCACCTGTCAATGAACTGTAAAATGACTCGTGTGATGGTAAACGTAACTCCTCCAACTTTTCGCAGTCAATGTACTCGCACGGAAAATACCTTTTCGCGTCAGTAAATTAAAATCTTGTGTCGATAAATTTTGAAGCTCGCATTGCAATATTCGTAGCTTATCTTTATTCAAGAAGGATGCCAATTTGTCGAGACTGGTATTGAGAAATTTGAATGAATCAATAAATCGTAATTTAACACAATTTTTCTGATCATTTTTGTCTTCCGTATCTTTGACATTTTTTGTAAACGAAATATATTTTTCTTTTGTTATCGGAAGTAATTTTATTCGTCCTTCATATGCCGTAGCTATTTCCGTAATGATAAAATGCGCGTCATAGCCGGATAAATTGTGAAAAACTATGGGAATGCAATGCGAGTCTTTGTAATTTAAATTACAATTTGAATGCGCGGGACCTCTAAATCGATCAGTTAGATGGCAATGATCGCGTACCCGCATGTCATCTAGAGCGAACGGTTTTTCGCACACGTGACAGTACGTAGCGTTATTAAATTTTTCTCAATCTTCTCGCGTAAAATTTGCCATAGGGACATTAGCGGACAAAATAGTTTTTACGCGATGCGCTAAACTTCTGAGTTCCTCGGCAAACCGACGCAACCGCACACGACGCAATCCTTATCGCGACGAAACCGATATGTGGATAGTGAGTTATCGTACGAGCAGCGTACATAATATCCTATGCTAAATATCTGATGGTGCTGGTACGCATAGCTTGATGTTTTCGGATATTCATTTTCCGTCTTCTCCAGAGTGCATTCCAAGTCCGCGTACACGATAAACGGAACTCGTTCTTTCCTGTTATAATTGTTGAAACTGAACCACTTGTTGTCCTCACTCGGTAATCTGATGGCACAGTCGTTCATCTCTGTACAGTCTATAATGTGAGCCTCCAATTTTTCACTCATGCTAAAATAGTGTAAACATCTGCAAGAAACATAATTATTTTAGTTTTTTTTAAACGAGTATAAAATATTTCTCAACTTATTAAAATATGTATACTTACCGGTCACAAAAAATTTCCTGTGTTCTTTTTGTTGAGTTGCGAGCTTATGAGGCGGGACAGATTCTTGATCCACACGAAATGTCCCGCGTTATCATCCCGCGGATCCTGCACGTACAGCAGATTGACATGCTTTTCCTTCTTCGTATTGGTAAGACGTGTCGGAAGGATCGAAAGTTCTTTCTTCTTTTCGATGCAGTATACATTTATGGATATGTTGTTGAAAAATTCAAACTTTTTAATTTGTTCCAACGTCATCGGAAACTCAATGTTTTGAAAATTGAGTACCGACGTATAATGTGGATACGAGGATTCTCGTTCTGTGTTTCTTTCAATTGGATGCAGAGCCGCGACCATTGACCATGCAAAACACGCAATGTCCGTAGACTGTACGTTGATCACCGCTCTCTTCATCATAATTTCCTGCGGTAACTGAATTTAACATCCCGCGTGCAGAGGATTGTGTTTGTTTATATTAACAGTTAAATTGAGTATACGCGACAATGCCCACCCGCTATCGCGCTCCTGAAATTCTTCTAGAGATGCCAAGGTAGGCTCAATAACGCGCAACTCGTACCACTTAAATTGGTGTAAATTGGACGAACGAAAGAGTTTATAGTTTCTCGTGTGACACTTTTATTTGCACGTTTGTTATTCGCAACAAATTCACCATTAAATACTGTATTCATTTTGATATTATTATGTTTCTGCATGATATTTTGCACTAATGATAGAACGTGTCACAGTCTTTTCATTATATCTTACTAATGATGGTTGTATCTCCTTTAGAATATTTTCGCATGTGGCATTTAGTTTCAGAGTGTATCAAATGATATATAAAGATTTTATTCTTGATTTATGTGAAAATACAACAATTGCGTTTTTAACACAATGATCTCATCGCAAGACACGTTGTGACGTGCCCGTTGTTCTTAATATCATATTTCATACCATTAACCTACGTGAAATTGCAAGTTTGTAATTTTAACACGATCTCATCGCGAAAAACATCAATTGTTCTTAAAAAACATATATTTTGTACCGTTGACTTACGTGGATTTGCAAATTTGCAATTTTAATACATGAGGTAATCTCATTGTGACATGATAAAGATATTTACGCGAAATTCATCGTAGCAGCCATATATTGGCGCTAATATTACTGCAAATGTTGCAGTGTCTACAGTTACATCATATATCGAATGATGTACGAAAACGTGCCTAAAGTAAATTTATTCTGTATAATCTCATCGCAGCTGCCATTCGTCGGCGCTTATGCAAAAATGCAAAATTGTAATTTTAATGAGAGTTATATTTCACATCTCACGTAGTAAACCGTCGAAAAAAGAATAGAGGAGTATACAAATTAAAAAGAACTTCAACAATTATTATTGTATTAATCGCTGTGTGAAAGACGGACAGTCTATACTTCTATAAAGAAACAGCTCTTGAAAAAATGTACAAAGGAAGCTCTGTGAATTATTACACTTCGATTCAACAGAATGAGGCGTACAAAAAACAGTAAGTTTCATTACCACAAATCTTTCTTATATATTTTATATATTTTAATATATTAGTAGCTTACTTATATGTATTCTTCTCCTTACAGTATATCTTCTCATAATTCATCATCTACGGAACCTTGTACATCTCGTATCTTGGGAAGAAGATTTGCCTTAATATCCACAACTTATAAATATTTGGATATTGGAATCAACGTGGGACTTGTATCCTATGTGGAATTACGTATTGGTGATAATCGAGGCAATCAAATATTATTGTCTTATGTAATGTGGAAAACCCTCATCGAGAAACATGTGGATATCGAACAGCTTGTGCAATCAATTGCTCCTTCATCATTGTCGATTCATGATCTAATTATAGAACTTGTTCAAATGCGAAATACAAATATTGTAAAGTTTACATTGCGCGATACATGCTTGTACATGAAGCCGTCAACCATATTTTTTCTATTTGAACTTGAACATTGCGTCGAACATGTATATTACAGGTTCTATGAGAATATATATGGTGTCAGCGAAAAATTTAAACAATTTATAAACTTTTTACGGCGGAATTGTATCACAGATAAACATATTGCAATAAAAACTTTGCGCGAGAGCAACATTTTTGACAAAATTTCGATTATAGATTGTGAATTATTAGCGTACGCAATAGATAATGTTGTACACTATGCATTACATGACCAATAAATGTATATTATTATAAATATTACTCGGTTTATTCTCCATTCTTCCTTACAATTCAGCGGTTTCAGGTTGCGCTGCGATAACCAGTCGCGTGCCGACGCATCTTGTCGCGAATAATAATATCATTCATAATAATAATAAATTACTAAGTAATATTTTTAAAAATACTCCTTTAAAAAAATAATTAATTTAAAAAATTAAAATTACAAAAAAATATCAAGACAAAACGAGATACCTTGGTGGAAAGAGAGAGAACTTAAGAAAAGAGGAAGGAAGAGAGAAGAGGAAGGAAGAGAGAAGAAAAAATGGTAAGAGAGAGAATATGAAGACAGCGGCGGTGGCGGCGGTGGTGGCGGCGGCGGCGGCGGCGGACCCCGCATCGTGTGACGTCACCCCTCGCTTCGCGGACCCCGCGCCATATTCCACTTCCTCGTCCCGCGCATCCCGCGTTTAGTGACGCACTTCCCCCCTCCCTTGCCCCGCGGATCTCGCATCCATCACTTATGGAGTGTCCCGCGTCGCGGAACCCCTCTGCCCCTCTATCCCCCTCGGAACTCCCGAGTTAGAACCGGCCTTATATAGTTACTTATATGTATTATATAAATTATATGTATAAAGTGAGATTATTTATTATTAAAAACTAATTTCAAATGTAAAAATAATACATTTGCAACACAAAACTTAAGTTACTTAAATTACTTTCTTTGTGATTTTTTTTACCGAAATATTTAACTTTTCGTGAGATGCGAGAAAATCATAAGCGTATCCAAACTTTTGGTCGGCAGAATATGTATAAAAGTATAAATATGCAGAAATGCATTAATGTGAAAAAAGAACATGTCAAATTGTGACATAAAAAGTGGTAAGTGTACACATGTATAAAAATACGAGAAATCGTATGTATGAATGTATAAAAGAAAAGTATAAATATGTAGACGTAAAAATTAACGTGAAAAAAAAGATATATTAAATTGCTCAGATGGAGTGGTAAGTATATACATGTGTAAAAGTACGAGAAAACGTATATATGTGTGGAACAGAGGCATGTATGTATGCATATATGTATAAATGTATTTTCACTTTCAGTTTTGAAACATAATATCTTCGCCTGTGGGTCATGTAGAATAGGAAAAAAATAAAAAGACTTTATAATTCGAATCCAATTGAATATATTAATAAATTAATCAGTCGTTTCTGAGATCTGATAGTCTCAGATACTTGCAACTGAGGAGCTCACGTAAAGATTCACATTTGATCTCGCGCGCATATGACGCGCTGACTTATTTTATTTTCAATACGATTGACTTGGCTACATTATGTCGTATAGCTTTTAATCCAACTTTAATCCAACTTATGACCAACTTGGCTATTATGTGATATAGCGAAGAAAAAAATCGAAATTTTAAACCGTTATAATGGGAAGTAGACCCCATATCATTGTGATTAACAGCCGTCACTGAAATCGGCCGATGAATCGAGTTAGAAATGACAGCGCTCGATCGAGGAAATAACTCGCGAGCCACGCTTTGCCACCTCTGATTTAAAATATTTAATAATATTCTTTTTTTATTAAATAAAAAGATCGCTATAGTATACTGGAATAGTTGGAGCGGTTACAATTCTTTTCTCTTGCGTTATGAATATATATCTTATAACTTATACTTAAAAAAGTTAAAGTTGAAACCAATATTCTTATGAGAGAATATATATATATATATATATATATATGAGAGAAAATATTATTAATAATCTTTTTTGGGGGAAAGAAAAGAATTGTGGAGTCCACTGGATGTAACATTGGAATAAAATGCAATAAAAACATATATATACATGTAAAATGGTTTCACTTCCGCGCAGGGATAACTTCTTAGTCGGACAGCCAAGTGAGGAAGTGAGAGCGACAGAAGTTGGAGTAACAATAATTCTTCTATTGATGTCTGCGATGGAGTGCGACAATGATTAGAATAAATATGTACAACGATCGAGTCGACTATTTTGCGAGATATCTATAATATTTCTTACGCGGTGTATAGTGCGGGACGCGAGTGCTGCGTGACGCGGGGTGGGTGACATGCGGTCGGTGCCGTCGCCAGCGCGATCAGCTAGGCTTCGGAGCACGCGGTGATGCGCGTGATGAATTCTGCGGCTGTTTTGGAAACAACTGATTTTGACAGGAAGATTGTCTCCGAGGTGCCGTCACTTTGACGGTAGGAATCGAGAGCGATTCGCCTGTTAACCCGTGGACTCAAGTGGAGGAGTGTCGGGTGATCCGACGAGACAAGAAGTACTCTGGTGCTCGGAGTTGTCGTCGAGAGTGCTCGACGCCACCGGTGTTTCGTCGGTTATCACCTGACAAATGTATCGAGTGACGGTATCGAGGCGCTCCTCGACACGTCTTTCTCGCAAGATATTCGGAGATGAAATAGTAAATCGAGCGCACTCGGCCGTGTTGGAGTGCTCCCCAGTACGCGATTCTCTAGGAGGTAGATAGGATGGTCGATCGTGGTCGAGCGTACTCGGCCGTGTTGGGATGCTCTCCAGTACTGTCACGATTAACTTGCTCGGTTTCAGATTTGGAAAGGCTTCTCGACTTTTCTTCGCACGATGCTGTGCTCGGAAACGGGACAGGTGCTCTCCATGAAAAGTGAGCCCCTTTTATCCGAGATCGTATTTCGGTACGGAGGTCGGTTTCGAATTAGCCGATCTCGGGGTTGGGCTCCCCTTCCATGGACAGATAGGAGATCTTGAGGGGAGAAATCGGAAACGAAGCTGGGATGAGCCTTGTTCAGTGGCGCGGTACGGAGAGACGCAACGATTTCACGGCGCGGCATTCAACGCGGCGCGGGTGGTGTGCTCCGCGAAGCTGAGCACGTGTTCGCCGAATGCCGGCGTGGATTCTTCGAGATACCTTGGAAAATCTTATGTTCGTATGATTAAAAAATGGGCGCAATGCGCCGGTTTGTGATGATAAGTGGCACTCTCCCCGGTGATCGACGGTCCTCAACAGATGATAGGACGAGGGAAGTCGGAGCATGAAGCTAGGGGGAGTCGCTTCGTTACACACGTTTTAATAATAAACTATTATTTTTTATTAAACAATTATTAAACATATATTTGTTTATATATTTGAGAAATTTGTTTGCATAGATTTTTAAAATAATATTTACATAATTAATGCAAGAAGATATGTTAATGTTATGCAATAAGAATATAATAGAGTACAGTAAAAGTTTGTACGGATTTTAATGCGACCCGGGCGTGCCAAGTTTTTGTACGTCTGTTTGATTTTAAGATCGCTCTATATTTAAACTATATCGTTCTATTTATTAAAATACACAGCAAAAAGCGTAGCAGAATAGTATAGTTACATATATCGTGCAATATTTAAACTATTTTGGAATTTTAATATTTATTAGTTAAGAAAATGTATTTAATGAAACGTTGCTATTAATATGGAGCATCAAATTATAATTTTATAATTATTAATCTTATTTTTTGAAACTTTGAAATTCTGTCACGTGGTTTTTTTTTTTTAAACAGTTGTACATTGAACCTTCGAGATGATAACGATAACTTGGCGCTATTTTTTTATATCAAATTTTTTATACAAATGACACTTATTAGAGTTGAGTATTATCTTACATATTGTTTGAATTACATAATATTACATAAGATTACGTAACTTTGTAATATAATACTTGAATTAAAATAGAAAAATTCTTGAAAAGATAAGTGTCGAATTTTATTTTTATTTTTTTAAAAAGATTGAACTTTCCAGATAATATAACTATAGCTAACTTGGCACTACTTTATTGATATCAAATCTTTTATACAAATGATATATGATTATTAGAAATGAGTAGTATATATTATGTATATTATCATTGAACATCAGTATAATGACGTAATTTTATAATATTTGGATTGAAATAGAAATACTCTTGAATGTAAAGATATGTACTTGAGTTTTATTTTTATTAAGTTTTATTTTTTTAAGAAGATATAACTGGCGCCGGATATAATTGATGAAAAGCTTTTAATATTTTGATATTTATCATAAGTTTTATATTTTAAAAGCAATTGTATATTGAACTTCCGAATGTAACTATAACTTGGCGCCACTTCTTTGATATCAAATCTTTTATACAAATTAGAATTGAACATTATATACTATTCAACCATTAGACATAAGATTGCATAATGTTGTAAATATAAACTTGCATAAAATAAAAAGATCTCGGGTGGAAAAATATGAATCTTAAATTTTATCTATTTTTTTTTTAAGAAAATATAATTGCGTTAGTAATTGAAGAACTTTTTTTCATTAAAAAGTAACTCTTTAATGGAACTTTTACATAATAATCTTTCACATACACACTGCGCGTATACTTAGCTACTTCTTTATTTTTTTTATAAAAAATAAGTTTGTTGTGATATCATTTATTTTATTGTGTTTGATTATAATATGATGATATAATATGATGATTTTAATATGATATATCTTGTATATATGATATATCTTGTATGTACAACTGTAAAAGTAAAAAGTTCTCGAGTGCAAAGATATGAATCTTGAGTTTCATTTTTATTTTTTTAAGAAGATATCATTTGCGTCAGTAATTGAATAGTAATGAAAGCTTTTTTTCCAATAAAAAGTAACACTTTTATATAATAATCTTTCATATACACGCTGCGCGTACACTTGGCGATTTTCTTACTTTTTTCTAAAAAATAAGTTTGTTGCGATATCATTTATTTTGTTGCGTTAAGTATTTTATAAATAATATATATATTTCCATAGTAAATCTTTACATTAGGGGACACAGTTCCGATGATCTTGATCTTGATATATGTAATGAAGGTGAACTTTCATATAAATGTTAGTAAATTTTTACATTAGGGGACTTAGCTCCGATAATCTTGACTCAAATATATATTATTAAGGACTGCTGAGTAACAATCAAAAAGTTTTAACCAGTAGTTATTGTTTATTAAAAAGTTATATACAGAAAAGTTTGAA